AATAATTTGAGTTGTTACCTAACTGGGAGGGAAAATCTGTAAATATGGTACACACGATGTTGTAGCCAAAATTCAGTATCACAGAATTCCGCTTTAAATATTGCAGTTAATCGATAAGTTACGAAAGTTACGTTGCTTGACGTAACCAATGGTGATATTCAATTGTCACTATTGGTATGTATAGTGGAGAAATTGAAATTCATTCTATTATGAATATAAAAATCAGAAGGAATGTTATATACCGTCTTGTAGCCGAGATTGAGTACTACAAAAATACGCTAAAGTATTGACGTCGATTGATAACTTAGGAGAGTTATGCCGTTTGGCAAGACCAATGGTGATGATCAATAGTCACAATTGGCATGTATGATCCACCTTTAGAAAATTAAAGATTTCTAAGCAACAGAGCGTATTCCTTTGGGTGCAATGAGTATTTTTAGAAAGCCGAAATTCTTCTCCATCCAACGGTACCAATACACTCTCATGTTGATCGGCAGACATGAGATCCAGGAATCTTTAAAAGGCAATAGAAGTTGCTCTTTGGTTTGTCGTCTCATTGTTAGATATTGGCGGATCACTCCCTTATGATATCAAATCCTTTTGACATTGTTTTGTTAAATTCATTTCTCCGTTGAAGCGTTTGCATGAGATCTTTGCGTTTCGGGTAGGAGAATACTTAGTGGTAGGGAAATTATCGTCAAGATATTGAAAGTGATTTGTTTTTGATTTCAGACTACTTTTTGATTTCAGACTACTACTTCAAAACGTTTTCTGTTCGATTGCTAAGCGATGTATTTGAAGTATTATCTTGACGACAGAGGCAAACGAGTGTATACGTTCCAAGTAAGTTGTGTTCTTGCCTTTATCTCGACTTTATTCCTTCATTTTAAACTCAAAATTCGAACTTAACCTCCAGAATACCTCACACAATCAGGTTTGGACAAATCAACCCACAAATTTTTTTGTTTTCAGGAATTTGATCCATCCGGAAACCCGACAAAATCCGCGCATCCGGCACGTTTTTCACCAGAAGATCAATTCTCTCAATACCGAATAATTACGAAGAAACGTTTCGGTCTATTGCTGGCAGACCAAGCGACGGCCAATCAGCCGAATATACTCGAATCTGAAAAATCTTTTGGTCATTCGAAGAAAATCAAATCGGAACCTAAGTGAGAGTCGAAACCGCGCAAAGAACAAGAACATTGAGCTGATTTATTTAATATTCAACTCGTAATATTTATCATAGTAACACAAAAATATAAAATTAAATTTAACAAAGTAAAATGTATGTATGGGAATTGCGAAGACGATACCGCCAAGCTGTTAGATCATGGCGTCCACCGGTTGCGCTCACCTACAAGGAGGCTAGCAGACGGTGAGTTTCTTGAAAATTTCTCGCTTAATTTTCGAGTAATTCTTTCGATTTTTCTAATCGTTTGTAGTTTTTAAAAAAATATATCTTCGAAAATATTCGTTTATTCGGAAGAGGATTTTCATT